AGACAAATTTAGTAATATTTTTTTCAAAAAAATATATTAATGCATCAATAAATAAAATGTAGTCAAAATAGAACATGTGAATAGTGTAAACTTTGGTATGTTGCACTTATTTAAGAACGGAGGTAGTACTTGTTTTCATGATGTAGTTATCAATTTTGAATTTAATAAACGATACATCTAATAAACGAAATATCATCACAATTAAAAAATTCAAGATAATACCAGAGTCTATTATAAGCCACAAAAGCTGTAAAAATCGCTTATCATGTGGATCTTTATGTTTTTAACTACGAAAAATTACAATTTATCTACAAAATGAAAACGATTGAAATGCTAGTACAATTTTTCTACCAGCTAACTTTAACTTTACACAAAAAATAAAGCAGTATGTGATTTTGTAACTGGCTCTCCCATGCTGCCATGCATATTGGTCAATGGCTTGTGCTTCACAATGAATATGACCTCCGAAAATGTCTTTCTTGATCTTTAAGGAAAGAACCTGTTCTTGTTCGTACAACTATCAGACATCATCACACCATATAGACATGCATGCAAATTTTTATATACCGCTCATTTCCTACAACATTTCATGATTTCAAAGTAGGTGTCACAATAGCATTTTAGTTTATTATATTCAAATCTCAATTATAACATTTATTTTTCCAATTATTTTATTATTAATTGTGTCAAGTTAAAGTAAGACAAATAAAATGCGAGGAAAGTAATACGTAGTATATAATAGTAACAGTGTAGATTTAGAAAGGGTTGTATTTCATTTTTATTATTTAGCAAAACAAACTAGTATTCTCGTTTCATGAGTGTCCAATCATGTTATCTATTTTGATTCAATAAACTGTTCTGGCCGCACATCATTAATTATATGTATCAATATCAGTTCTGACTGTAATTAATGATATTGATCATCTAAACATTTAAAATATTGTCTGGTAAATGGATTGTTGGTGTAAGGCTGGATGATGTCCCCTGATGCTATTGTCATGGGCCTATCTACGCCACACTTAAAAACAAATAAATGGTTTAGGGTTAGGGTTAGTAGGTGGGTTACGAAGCCCAACAAGCTAAGGTAAGTAGGTCAAGGAAGTAAATGGACCGAATCCAAAGGGTCGAATCAACAATAAGGGGGGCCGGGTTGCAACCAAGACATGTCCAAGTCTCAGAAAGAGATATAAAGACCTTACTTAGCTAGGACAATACCTCCCACATTCTCCACCTTATTTGTCTTGTGTGTGGTGTAGTCAAAATGGAGCCGTCAAAATGGGCCGGAACCCGCAAGCTAGCATGTTTAAACTCATTTATTGGTGGGTTAGGGTTGTGAATTTCTGACCCATTTAGTCCGTGGGTTTTGTGGGTCAACCCACACGAGTTGCGGGTTTAAGTGGATTGGCCCAACGAGTTGCGGGTTGGCCCGCGGGTCAATATACAAACATGTAGTTTTGACTTTTATTATCTTCAATATTGTTCTTTGACTATCAAAATTATTATAATCACAATTAAAAAAATTATAAGTATTGCAAAATGATTATTATTTCCATAACAAATATTCAAATAAAATGTTGAAACATATATTTTATGTGAAGTTCGATACAATATTTAACAATTAGTAGTCATGATTTACTAATAATAAATCAAAAGGTTTAAAAAGGTTTAAATAGATATTTACTTTTACTTTTATACAATGAGTATTTGTGTTACATATTTTCAAATTCTCGTATAAGTAGTACTCCCTCCGTATCAAATTAATTGACCCACTAGGCTTTTGTAGTAGTTTAAGAAAAATTGTAGGTGTACTGTAGATAAAGTAAGAATAAAGTAAGAAACACTGTAGATGATTAAAAGTTGATGAATACTTTACAAAAGGAGTATAAACAACCGGACCCCATATACATTAAGCACTGTAGCAAAGCGTAAAGGCCATATACATTCGGCCCTGTTGGCAGTTCGCACACCCAAAAAAATAAAACACTGTAGCAATTCGTAAATGGGAAAAATGCCAGCATAATGGCGCCAACTTTTTAGATTTGGAGCCAGATTAGTTCCAAAATATTCGCACTTCTATAAATAGAAGAGAGAGTGACGAGTTTGGAGCCAAGAACAATGGTGGATTCGTAGATGACCTGCGCCTCTCAGACTTAGGAAAAACCTCTCAGACTTGTTGTCATCATCGAGGGGGGCATTTCACGGCCATTAAACAGGTAAACTTTGTCATCATAGAGGGCGTTTAGGTCTGGTTGCTATTTGGAGGCCTTCCTACAACAATAGAAATTGTTGTGGTTGCTATCTCCAAGCCATCCAAGACCACTGACCACAGTTCCAGGGCAGAAATCCGATCACCGATGCCAAACCTGAAACCTGCAGAGCGTGCATCTGTACTGGACTTCCTGAATCAAAGGACAGTCAAAGGAAAGGTCAAGCGAGGTGGATTCACAGATGCTGCGAATGCTTTTGGTCTCTCTCGCAAAACAGTGTTCAGGTTATGGACTGTGTCAGAAAGATGCAGGGCTGCAGGAGAACCCGTGAACCATAACGCCAACAGAAAGGGAAGGTGTGGAAGGAAGCCCAAAATAGTGGACATTGCGGCATTTTCAGCACTTCCATTCCATCAAAGGAGTTCAATTAGGAGCTCTGCAACAGCTATGGGTGTTCCTGCATCAACTGTACAAAGATTACTCAAGAGGGGAGAAATAAAGCCACACTCAAATGCAATCAAGCCATTCTTAACCCCTGAGAACAAAATCAGTAGGCTGCAATGGTGCTTATCACACCTCAAAGTACAGGCAATGCCAGAAAGTCCAGTTTTTGATGAAATGTTCAACATTATCCACATAGATGAGAAATGGTTCTATCTAACCAAAGGTAGCCAGAAGTACTATCTGGTACCCGGTGAAATGGAACCACACAGAACAGCCAAAAGCAAAAGGTTCATTGAGAAAGTTATGTTCTTATGTGCAGTTGCCAGGCCTAGGTTCAATGCAGAAGGTGAATGCACTTTTGATGGGAAGATAGGGATGTGGCCTTTTGTTGAAATGGTGCAGGCACAAAGGAATAGCAAAAACAGACCTAAGGGCACACCAGAACTAAAACCGATACCAGTTGTGAACAAAGTAGCATATAGAAACATGATCATCAACAAACTACTACCTGCACTTCATGAAAAGTGGCCACCAAATGATGACAAGACAATATATATCCAGCAAGACAATGCAACTCCACATATCAAGGGAGATGATAATGAATTCATATTGGCAGTTCACAAGATGGGGAGGGATGTTCAACTAATGAATCAACCATCAAATAGCCCGGATATGAATATCCTTGATTTGGGCCTATTCCGGGCTATTCAGTCTTTAAAGGATACATGCTCAACAACAAATTTTTCTGAACTGGTCCAGAACTGCAATGATTCATTCATTGCATACAATCCTCATTCCTTGAATCATGTATTTCTAAGCTTACAGTTATGCATGATTGAAGTAATGAAGGTTAAGGGGGGCAATGCATATTCACAAGTACACATAGGCAAGAAGAAACTACAAAGGCTTAACATGCTGCCAGTTTCAGTGGCTCCTCCCCCACTACTAGTGTGGGAATGTATGAACTACTTGCAACAAGGGACAATGGACCAAGAAGGAGTGGAGGAAGGAGCAACTGTTGATGCATAAAGAAAGGGACCACTGTATAAAAGGGGTAAACACTGGCAGTTTTGATTTTTGTTGTTGAAGTATGGTTTAAAACAATTTTTTGCAAGGCCATGTATAAATACTCCATATTTTTGCATAGAGGAGTAGGTCTTTATTTTTTGATGTAACAGTGTATAAGCCCACAATTTGGTCACAATGAATGAAGTAATTTAAGAATTTTAGAATGATGTCGTTAATAACAATGGAGTAAATCAACAATAACCAGGTTTAGATAATGCAAAACACGAGTAGGACTACAGAATACAGAATACACACAACCAAAGCACAAATTAAAGTAGAGATTAGGAATACATCCCTTACGGAATATCCAGACGAATTTCATCCCATGGACCAGCCCTTTCCTTCGAGTTCACCTCCTCTTCACCGGAATCTGTGTCGCCAAACCCAGAAGAGCTTGAATCCACCAAATCGGACCCGAATAATCTCCGGAGAGGCCAGCCTGGGTCAGTTTCTGAAGAGGTTGTCCAGCCTGGACAATCGGTGCTTCGGGAATCCAAATCAGAAACGGGCACCGGATCCGCTAGGCGAATGGGCACATTACTCAGAACAGGGCCTTCCTTCGATTTCTCTGAAGGAGGTGATGGACATCCTTCATTTAGCCTTTGATCAAGCAGTATCAGTTCAGAATCAGACTCATATGGATCCATGCAAAGGAGCGATGGATTGGTAGCTCAGAAATAAGGTGGCAGACAACAGATTAGGAATGGAGAGGAGGGTTGTGAGGAGGGGTTGGGCAGTCGAGATAAACTAGATGGACAACCAAAGAGGCAATAACCCAGACCGACGGAGAGATAGAGAGAAACCAGAGAAACCGGAGAAACAGAGAGAAGGTTTGAACAAGAGAGAGAGGGAGAGACGGATGCTTCGAGAAATGGGGGGGTGATAATGGCCGAATTAATGGGGAAGGTGGGGCGGATAGGGATTTATGGTTGGGTGGGATGGGGATTTAATGGGGAGGAATAATGGGATAAGTGGAGAAAAAAAGTAAAATGTAAAAATGTAATGATGAGAAGTTAAAAGGTGGTGGGGTCCATGTCTAAAAATAGAAATGGGACTTTTAATTTGATACGTCCCGAAAAGGAAAGCGGGTCAGTTAATTTGATACGGAGGGAGTATTTAGTATCTTTTTAACAAGTATTGGGTTAACTTCTTAGTATTTTGATTTCTTATATTTCTCTTATTACTACTAACTAATATAAATATATACTCCAGAGTAATTATTTTTAAAGAATCATTTGTAATATATTTTTTACATTGGCTCGTGGGCCAACCCGTTCGATCCACGGGTTAGGTGGATTGGGTCGGGTTGTAGAAATTCTGACCATCACTAAACGAGTGGGTTCGACCCAACCCACATAAAGTATACCAGTTACAGGTTGAGTCGGGTTGGATTGGGTTGGTCCGTTTGACAGCTTTAGGTTAGTAGACAACAGTGGCATGGGGGAACTCATCATCATTGGGTTGCCTAAAATATCGTAAAGTAGGCAAGAATTGGAGATGCGTAAAGCACTCTTTAGGTCACAAAGAACTAAAACAAATGAAGCAACCTTGGATCTTCGGATCTAGAAGATCCAAGGGACACGGTGATCGCCCAGAGAATTCTTGGTTTTCAGGGCAATCTGCAAAACAAACAACCCTATCCACAATCCATAGTTAATGTTCGTTTACAAGACAATAACTTTTCAACAGACATTTGGTCCCCATATTAGCAGGATTAAACTCCGATGGCATCATGTCCAGCATGATATCTCTAACATCCACAATCTCCCGGATGAAGTGGAACCTATGTGCCCACATTTGTGCTTAATCCTGTCATGAAACACAAGATTTTTGCAAAAAGAGTCCTGTAAGACTCATGGCTTGCTATATTTCTAATAAGAGAATAAATGTCAATTATATAAATATGTGTATTAGGTATATTACTAGAAAGAAATAAAATATAAATAATGGTTTAAAAGAGAGTGCCGTTAGTAATGATCCGTGCACATTGCACATTGTTTTATTGAGTATAATTGGCTTTTTTATGAAAGGCTTGACTTTCCATCGCTATACTCTTTACTTCTTTAGTTCCTTCATCTCCAATTACTCTTTACATTTTGTGTACATACACCAAGAATGGTCCTTCTCTATGGAAAATTCTTAGTGTACACACGTTGTACACAAATTGTACACAAAACCCCCCTAGTTGCCTGTGTACACAGGCAATTCATTTAAAAAGGGACAAAACTTGATGTCAAATTGCCTGTGTACACAAGCAATGTACACATTTTGTGTACATGTTGTGTACACCATTCTCTATAGCAAGCAACTAATAAACATTATTGGGATGCTCATATAAATAACTAAAATATTACAGAAATTCATTGGCAGCTATCCCAATTTCAATCCCTAAAAAGAAATACGCAATCAAAGCATCGAGATTAATGATCAGTTTCATAGCTTTTCAATCAAGACTCTTGCATCCTGCTGCTTTTAATGTAAGTTAAAGTGTCTCCCATTATGGGTCATGGTGGGACTGCCTAACTCAGCAGGGAATCAAGAATCATCTAACAAGCAGATTGACAGGATTATAGAAAACATGAAGATAAAACAAACCCTACACTTGGCCTTTTTCTCTCCTTTTGAGATTCAATTTGAAGACAGTTGTTTCATTTGGATTTTCATAGAATAACTGAGATTCTATTGAGCTATTTTAGCTGAAACTAAACTATTTACGAGAAAAATTATGGACTTATAGAAGAGAAAAATGACCTTAAATTGATATCTTTCAATATCACTACGGAGTACGAAGTATATTACAGAATTACTAAACTATATGTAGTGTGAGGGTGGGTAAAATACAAATACAGAGAGAACAACATGGGAGACCCTGGCAGCTTACCTTAAATCTATATAAACACCTACTGCTTCCACATTTTAAGGATCAACCCAATTCTCTCTCGCTCTCTCCCTCCCTCTCCTCTCTCTGGATATATATCTCGGCGAAAATGATCCTTGAGATCGCAAATAATAAGAATAAGAACCCCTGGCTGGTAGGCAGTGGTGATACGAAGCCACGGCTGAAATGGACTCCAGAACTTCACCATAGATTTGTTGATGCAGTATCTCAGCTTGGAGGTGCTGAGAGTGAGTTTTACTCTCCTCCATTCTCATCTTTTATATATTCTGCAAAAAAAAAAAGGCTCACTTAGTTCATCATGGATCATAATATTGGTGACAATATCATGCACGTGCAGAGGCCACACCGAAATCATTGATGAGAAAAATGAACATTCAGGGGATTACTCTTTACCACCTCAAGAGCCATTTGCAGGTATTTTTTCCATTGTCACCTTAAAATCAACTTTTGATTATCTGTCTATAGTTTGTGGTGTGAAGTATGAATTAATGAATGCTAGCTCCATGCTGCAGAAATTTCGACTTGGGAAAGGACAGAATCCTCAGCCACACCAAGATAGCAAGCAAGAAGGTAAGCATGTGCTTTTTTTGTTGGTGCTACTTCCCACCCAACTAGTATAGAGTCACTCACAGCTCACTGGCCTTAATTCCAAGAAATTAGCTTATGGTGTTAATTAAGTTAAGATCTAATGCCAAATGTACTACCTCGACTATACGCTGTTGCTTAATCTGGCCCTCAGCAATTTATTTTATTAAACTATGGATCCAATTTTGCCCTCATTCATATTTAGTTCTGTAAAATATAAGATTGTATTCAATATACTTCATATGAAATCCTATACAAGAAGCTATATTTATAGCTATATTTAGAGTCCTAGGGTTTCCTATACAAGATATACAAAATGGGCTAAGCCCAATACTACTAGGGTTTCCACACTCCCCCTCAAGCTGGAGCATATAAATCATATGTACCAAGCTTGTTACAAATATATTCCACTCTAGGACCTCTAAGAGACTTAGTTAAAATATCTGCAAGTTGTCCAGTTGTGTTCACATATTTTGTGATGATATGTCCACTGGTGATCTTCTCTCGGATAAAATGACAATCAACTTCAATATGTTTTGTCCTCTCATGATATACCGGATTTGATGCGATGTGCATTGCAGCTTGATTATCACACATGAGTTGAGCTGGTTTTGTGTTTCCATATTTTAACTCTTGGAGGAGATGCTTCAACCATAAGATTTCACAGGTAACAAGGGCCATTGCACGATATTCTGCTTCAGCACTAGATCTGGCAACCACATCTTGTTTCTTACTTTTCCATGAAATTAAGTTTCCACCAATCAAGATGCAATATCCCGAAGTGGAACGTCTATCCATCGGACATCCGGCCCAGTCTGCATCACAGTATCCCACAATATCACGGTGGCCTCGATCTTCAAACAACAATCCTTGTCCTGGAGTTTTCTTGATGTATCTCAAAACTCGAATAGCTGCATCCCAATGTCCAGTACATGGCTTATCAAGAAACTGGCTAAGAACACTTACCGCAAATGAAATATCTGGTCTCGTGATGGTAAGATAATTCAATTTTCCGATGAGTCTTCTATATTTTTCCTTGTTGGGCAAAAGATCTCCCTGTTCTGATACGAGTTTAACGTTCGGATCCATTGGTGTATCCACTGGCCTGCAATCTAGCAAACCTGTTTCCTCAAGAATATCCAAGGCATACTTTCTTTGTGAGAGAGCAATTCCATCTTGAGACTGTGCAACCTCAATGCCAAGGAAGTATCTCAACTTTCCCAAGTCTTTTGTTTGAAATTTGCTAAACAGATGTTGCTTGAGGAGAGCAATTCCTTGATCATCGCTACCTGTAATGACAATGTCATCAACATACACAACAAGATAAATACATTTGTTGCCAGCAGAATGTCTGTAGAATATAGAATGATCAACATCACTGCGAATCATGCCAAAGCTGCAAACAACGGCACTGAACCTCCCAAACCATGCACGTGGAGATTGCTTCAAGCCATATAATGAACGACGTAATCTGCACACCATACCAGACTCCCCCTGAGCAACAAATCCAGGTGGTTGCTCCATATAAACTTCCTCGTGCAGATCTCCGTGAAGGAATGCGTTTTTAATATCCAATTGGAACAATGGCCAGCGGCTCATTGCTGCCATGGATAAAACCAAACGAACTGATGCAATCTTCGCTACAGGAGAAAAAGTGTCAGTGTAATCCAAGCCATATATCTGAGTATACCCTTTCGCCACAAGGCGTGCTTTAAAACGATCAATCTCCCCATCAGGCCCAACCTTAACCGTGTAAATCCACCGACATCCCACCACTGATTTGCCAGTGGGAAGGGGGACTAAGTCCCATGTCCCACTAGAATGAAGAGCCTCCATCTCAGCCAACATGGCTTTACGCCACTCTGGGTGTGTCAGTGCCTCATGTGTGGTTTTAGGAATGCATATATGAGATAGGTGGGAAATAAAGGCATAGTAAGGGGTAGAGAGGCGGTGATAACTCAAAAAGTTATATATGGGATGTGGATTCAATGTGGAACGCGTACCTTTTCGGAGAGCAATTGGCAAATTATCCTGAGTGGTGTCAAGTGCTGGAGTAGGTGATGGTGGTGATGCAGGATCCGTCATAGGGGAATCAACGGGCGTGGCCATGATGGGCTCAATGGGAGGAGGTCGAGGACGTCGATGGTATACCTGTAATGGACGATCTGACATAGGAGGGCAGTTTGGGTGCTCATCAGATGGGGGGTTAATGGGAGGCTCCTGATGGATGGGCCGAAGATATGAGGTGAAGTCCAAACATGATGGGGTATTAACTGAAGATAATGGATAATAAAAGGACGACTCAATGAAAGTGACATCAGCTGAAATAAAATGTTTCTTAAGTAATGGAGAATAACAACGATACCCCTTTTGGAGTCGTGAATATCCAAGAAAGATACATTTTATTGACCTAGCCGCCATTTTAGCTAATCCCGGTGTCGTATCATGGACAAAACACACACACCCAAACACATGAGGTGGTAATGGAAATAAATCACGAGCAGGAAACAAAATAGAATAAGGAATTTCATTATTAAGAACTGAGGAAGGCATTCTATTTATTAAATGACACGCAGTGAGTACAGCATCTGCCCAATACTGAGGTGGTGTATGGGAATGTAATAATAGGGTACGAGCAGTATCAACCAAGTGCCGGTTCTTGCGTTCAGCAACCCCATTTTGTTGAGGCGTGTGAACACAAGAAGATTGGTGAAGCATACCCCGTGATGTCATGAATTGATTAAAGGATGCCCCAAAAAATTCTTTAGCATTGTCACTGCGTAAAATTTTGATAGAATGACCAAACTGAGTTTGAATTTCAGCACAAAAAGTTTGAAAAATATGAAACAATTCAAAACGCTCTTTCATTAAAAACAACCATGTGTAACGGGAAAAATCATCCACAAAAATAACAAAATAACGGAAACCTAAAGTAGAAGTGACTCGATACGGACCCCATACATCTGTATGAACTAAATCAAACGGTGATGTAGCCCGGTTATTGACTCTCCTTGGAAAGGATTTACGAGGTTGTTTTCCAAGGTGACATGACTCACATTCTAAAGATGAAAGATTGGAGAAACCTGGAACCATACGTTGAAACTTTGAGAGACTAGGATGACCCAGACGATTATGTAAGGTAATAGCAGGTTCAACTGAAACACAAGCGATTGGATCAAGAGGATGGAGGTGATACAGACCTTGAGATTCATGGCCGACGCCAATTGTTTTCCCCGTACAACGGTCCTGCACAATCACAGAATCAGCAGAAAATGTTACGGAACAATTAAGAGCACGTGTAATTTTACTGACAGAGACAAGGTTAAAAGGGGTGTTTGGGACATATAAGACTGAGTCTAATGGTAAGGATGAAAGTGGAAGCGCTTGCCCAATACCCGAAGCCGAAGTTTGAAGGCCATTAGCAAGAGTAATCAAAGGAAGATGTCGGTGCTTGGTAATATGGGATAAAAGATTGGGATTACCAGAAATATGGTCCGAGGCACCTGAGTCAATTATCCATGAGCCTGCTGTGTTTGAAACGCAAGCGGTAGACATCCCCGTTGTAGATAATGGCATAGTAGTCAACTTAAATTGCTGATATGCTGCATATTCTTCTGGAGACAGAACAATGGGAGATGGTGGGATCTGAGCAACGGTGACTGGGGTAGGAGGTCTCCCATGTAATTTCCAACACCTGTCTTTAGTATGACCAATTTTATGACAAAAATCACATTTAGGACGGTTCCGTCTTGAGAATCCGGTGTTGTTTCCTCCGTCAGAATTCATAAAAGACAGCTTGTTTTTTTTTCCTTTTTTCTTTTTTTTTCTGTTTTTTTTTTTTTTTCTTTTCTGTCTTTTTTTTTTTTTTTGTTTTTTTTGTTTTGTTTTTTTTTTTTTTTTTTTTTTTTTTTTTGTTTTTTTTTTTTTTTTTTTTAAAGAGCAGCAAAAAATAAAATATTTAAAGTAGTGCAACTGCAATTGAAGTGAAGCAGCCGTAAGGTTGAAGGCATCAGGTTGAAGCACTGTAGCTACACAAGGATGAAGGAAAACAGACCTCTATCATCTTTGGGAGGTGCGGACGACGGCGAAGGGAGACTGCAGGGCGGCGGCGGCGAGCGTACGACGCAGGGAGACGGCGGTCGGCGGCGAGCGTACGATGCAGGGAGACGGCGGTCGACGGCGGCGGCGCGGTCGACGGCGGCGGCGCGTTTGACGGTGGCGGCGCGTGAAGCGGTCGACGGCGGCGAGTTTTACGTCGTTCTGGTCGCCGGAAACTCAGGATCTTCCGCTGGTTGGAGGTGTCAACGCCAGATAAGCAGAAAGAGAGAGATCTGCAAAAATGAAAAACTGCAGAAGTATGCTTCAGCGGCACGCGGTGGCGCGTGGATGATGCGGCGCAGGTGATTCCTCCGGCGGTAAGTCACGATGTACCTTTGAGCACGGCGGTAGGTTGATATCACTACCGAAAGCACTCAATTGAAAGTGACGACACTGTTCACGCCGGAATTCTGACCGGAAATTACACCAGCAGAAAAAAAAATCATAAACACTACACTAATATTGCCACACTGGCTCTGATACCATGTAAAATATAAGATTGTATTCAATATACTTCATATGAAATCCTATACAAGAAGCTATATTTATAGCTATATTTAGAGTCCTAGGGTTTCCTATACAAGATATACAAAATGGGCTAAGCCCAATACTACTAGGGTTTCCACAAGTTCTAAATGAGAAGAGAATTTCGGTATGCTCACTGAATTTAGTCCCGATTCCCGACTCAATTGGCCTCAACTATGTAAGTATAACCAAACTTAATCCTCATTGTATGAAAGTATCCTTCTCAATTAGATCAAAACACGGATGTAGATAAAGTTGAGTCTAAATTCCATGTCGAGAACCAAATTAAGCCTAAAAGATAAGTACCAAATTTGGCAATATTGCATAGGCTAGGAACCAAATCAGGTATTAACACACTACTTTTTCCCACTTACAAAATGACACAGCAAAACTGAGGACTTTGGTGCTTGCAGATTACATAGAACATCAGAGTCAATCACCTGCAGACAACAGTGATGAAGCCCAGGGTCAGATGAATGAGTAATAACCTATAAACAGCTTCTTAGTCAGTGGGAGTTGGGTAAGGGAGTGTTTTGCGGGGCTAGTACATCTCTCTTGATATGTATTTCAGATATTATAAAAGTTGAAGAAATAACATAATATGTGATAATACAGTACTTTAATCTTCCTCCTTTATTCATTTTTTAGAAACATTTTATATATACCAAGCCCTCCAAAGCCCCAAACCCCTCCACCTAAAATATCCTTCATAATTTTATATTAGAATGGATTTGAAATCTAGTCTACTAACACCTATATGGATAAAATTTCTGCTCTGATAATCTATAAGCACCGAAACAGCTCAGGCTTTGCGAATCCAAATGGAGGTGCATAGGAAACTGCAGGAACAAATCGAGGCATGTTTCATGGAGTTCATTTAAATTCGGATATTATAATTTATGTATGTGAATTAGACCATGAATTATACTGCATAATCATATACTAACCAGGTGCAAAGACATATCCACCAGAGAATTGAAGCCCAGGGGAAGTATCTCCAGTCTGTTATAAAGATGGCACACGAGACACTTTCTGGATGTGGTTCTTCTGTAGAAGTGGAGCTTGCAAAAGCTGAAATATCTAAATTGAAGTTAATGGTTGATATGGAGTGCTTTAGCTGTTCATCTTCAGGGTTGACCGAAAAAGAATGTTCAGTAAGAAAAGACACAGAATGTTTAGGAAGGATGGGATATGAGCCAGAAGCGATGGAAGAAGCTGGGAAGCAGGTGCCTGAAAATTCTTCTGTGGAACTTCCATTGATGGAAATGCATCCTTCCTTTGGAAATAGATTAAATGGTTACACAAGTGGAAGAAAAAGAAGCCAGTGCACCAGTTCTGATAATAACTGTAATGAGAAACCATGTGACCTAATCTTCAAAGCCAACACATATGACCAAAATTTAAAAACAATTGGATTCTTGAAGAATCCGGACTTGAATAAGAAGTGCCTTAGAGACTTTGATAGCTGCCACCCAAAAGATATTGACTTGAACTGCAATGTTCTGGAAAGGTTTAATGGGTACATATAGACATACAGTTTGAGTGTAAATTAACGGTTAAAGATCTTTTATCCTTGAAGAACTAACTGTGAACCAACCATACACAATATGTCATCCATGAAGAAATATGGAAAGATTAAATTTTTACTTCTAATTCTTCACAATAAACCTCTTTAAGTATGTAACTATAACTCTATACATATGTGGAACTTACAACGACAAAAATTCTTATTATGACTCCATTTCATCATCAAGTGAAGCTGATGTGGAAGCAATAGGCTGTTCAGTTGTCTCCGCATTTCCTCTATTACCATTGCTCCCAAATGAAAAGCTCAGCCAAATCTCTCTCCTCTGCCCGTTAGAAACCTTCTTGTTCAGATCATCACCATTTTCAGTGGGCAATTTGTACCTACAAACAGGGCAAGACCCATGAATCCCCAGCCACTTCTCAATACACTTCTGGTGGAACCTATGCTTACAAGGCATTTCTTTAGCAAATCCAGCCAAACCCCACTCTTCCAAGCACACTACACACTCACTGTTCTTTTCATCACCACCAATCTCCACTCCTGGCAATGATTCAATGGAGGATTTTGAAGCTGGTAGCTGGCCTCCTTTGCTAAGTAGGTCTTGCAGAAGAGAATCCAAGTTAGATGAAGATGAGCTGCCACCAGGTTCTATGACGACCATGCCTTGGGTCACAGGGTTCACGAGCACGATTCGGTCAAGTGAGTCATGCGCGATGGGAGACTCACTATTTACCTGGTCTGGGTCCGAGGAATCTTGAAGTGGGGTTGGGTTTATGAGGCTAAAATGGAAGGGCGGGAACTGCTGAGAAAGGTCTCTATTTCCTGAGATGGGGTGTAGCGTATCAAAGTCCATTATTGGGGTTTCTGCTACCAGGATAGAGACTATGAAGTGAAGCTTTGTGTGTAAATGGGAGGGGGGTGGGGACTGTTATGGAGAAGATGAATTTAGATGATGATAGATATAGGACACCGGAATATTTAGAAGAGTGGAAGGATGGAACTATGTGCGGTAGCAGGAATTGTAGGCTCTTGATTGATTAGTTGATTGATAACTACTCCGTATTTTATTAGTCTCTCCATTTTACTTCACATTTAGTCTCCGTTTTACATATTAAAATTTTACATGCAAAGTGATTGCGTGTAAAGTTTAGGGTCGTAAAATACTCCCTTCGTAATTTAATGGGCACTACACTAGCTTTGGGCACAATATTTTAGGATAGAATAGTAGGAGTAGTGAATATTGTAGAAAAAGTAGAAGAAAGTGTGTAAAAGTATGAAAGAGAAGATAAAAAGTACTACATCCGTCCCATTTTATGTGTCTTAGTTTGACTTGACACGATTATTAATAAAGTGGTTGAAAAAGTAAAAGTTGTGGTAGAGGTTTGGGTATAATAAAGTGAAATAGTGTAGACCGCATATTTCTTTCTAAAAGAGGAAACGAGACACTTATTTTGGGACAACCCAAAAAGGAAAGTAGGACATGTAAAATGAGACGGAAGGAGTAGATAAAGTAGAGTAGTTGAGTATTTTATAAATGGTAAACTTACCAAAAATGAAAGTGTAAGGAACTTTTAAATACATCTCAAAAAGGAAATTAAAGTGTAGGGAACTTTTAAATACGGAGGAAGTAGTTTGCATGTAAAATAGAAATACATTGTTTGGCATGTGTGCAATGGAGATTTAATTACACATTTACACATAAACTCTTGTTGGTGGTCAAATAAGTTTACATGTAACATACGGAGTATTTAGAAAAGAACTACTCCGTATAGTTCATAGAGTAATTCATTCTCTGCTCTATGAACACTAATTGTTTTCCATCACACAAAAATAATTTCTTATTGCCTTAAAACTTCCATTTCACCTAACTGTAAATGCACTCTCAGAAACTCTAATTCATAAATAAATCACTAATACATCAGTCTTATGAACAAATATTAAATTCATGCACCACACATTTTATAAGACGTACTACATATTCAACTACCTTAATATGCATAATCACATAATGTTTTCACACTGAACATTGATTTACAGCTTTACGTTAACCATTTTGCATATTATTTTTACATCACACAAATTTCACTTAATATGGCATTAAAATGCAATTTCACCTAACTATAGAGGCACTTTCAGTAACTTGAATTCATCAATAAATCACTAATTCATCTGTCTTATGAAGAAATCTTAAATTAATACACCTCACCTTCTATAAAAGTGCATATTCAACTACATTAATATGGATAATCACAAGATTTTTTGCACACTAAACATTGATATGCTGCTTTACGTTAACTATATTGCATATTAGTTTTCCATCACACAAATTTCACTTAATATGGACCTAAACTGCAATTTCACCTAACTGTAAATGCACTTTCAGTAACTCGAATTCATCAATACCTCACTAATTCATCAGTTTATAAACAATTCCTAAATAACATGCATCACACCCTTTATAAAACTGTACCCTACCTAAATACCACATAAACTGCACATTGAACTACTTAAATATCAAAATACGATGTACTCAACACCATCAAGAAAAGGAGCGGACTGGTGAATGCCTTTTCCTTTCCTTTAGCCCGTTCCCTTTTCTTCTCAATTAGAGCCTTTATCACGTATTCGCGCCAATTTAAATCTTTAATTCCTTTTGTGTCCTTCAAATTGTTTATGAAGGAGCAGTTTATGTATCTGTTCCTTGTATTATCTATCAAGGTCGATATAACGAGAATTATGAAGTTCCGCACAAACCAATCTCCACCTTCCTCACATCTTAGTATTTCATGCGCCACCTCTATTGGCAAAACCTTAACCTTTCCTCCAAAAGAAGCTCATCCAACATTTCACTTTTATCTCCTTTCCCCTTCTTTAACACTGGTGTGTCACCACGTGGAAATCCCAGATCAGCTCCACATCTTCTTTTGTGATGTGAATTTTCCTTCCTTTACCTAACTTCAGTGAACAACTAATTGGGTCGAAGTTGTCCACAATCCAATAACCAAGCTTAGACGGCAACTCTTGGATTCCTAGGTCTAAAAAAGCCCCAAACCCAACTTCACGCACTTGTTCTCGCTGTTTGTTAGTTAATTTCGCAATAGCATTCATCACCACATTCGGTGATGATCTAGTGTAGAGGCTATGGTACTGGACCTTCAAGTCATTCACCACAGCCCTCTTCTCCTTCTTGTTTGGTCTGCCCACACATTCGTTTTCCTCATTGTTTTGGTAAATTCACGAAGTCTTCATCATTGTCAGCTTCTTCACGTTCATTCAAGTCTGCCTCACTGCCCTCTTCTGTATCAGGCACCACCACATCATTAACGTTTTCATTACACACTTCTGTCTACTTATTTATCCTTCCACTCCTCCTTCTTTCACCACTTTCTCTTTCTGGACCACTGCTTCTCTTTCCACGAGCAGCCTTAGATCCTGCACATTGAAAAGAACATTTCATTGAAAATTGCACTAAATGAATTAGCACACCATTTTAATACTCTGTTTGCACCCCTTAATCATATTCACCGCATAGTATATGTATTTCAAATGAATGTAATTTAATAAAAGTTCACATCTACGAAAGACAGTTGGTTGTAATCAAACCTTTCAATTGGCCCCTTGATATACCCCCAAATTTCTTGGTTGCAGCAACTTTTGCATTTTCCTTTTTCAACCTTCTCTCAACTTCTTTTTCCATCAACTCAAGACCTAAATTGTCTTCTATAAATGTACATGCAGTTGAGGATAATTTTTTGTTATTCATACATCGTAAAATATTCAATACAATGAATTTTTACTATTTTTAACCTTGGAATTCATGTCTTGATTTTCTCCTAATTTCCTGTCGTTGCATGCTCAATTGCTTTTGTTTCTCAATCTTAGAATGGAACTTCATGAGCCCAGTAATCTTGTCTCCTAAAATTTCAATCACATCTCAATTTCAATAGTTCAAACTATTGAAACAATGAAAGTATAAATTTACTAACCATAGGGAAGAGATCACATACAAACACTGCTCCCCATACAAAATGCAAATCAATTTGTGTGTCCAATTTAGCCAAATCAATGGCCCAAAACAGGTTCCTCACCGTTAGACTTCATGAGCTGCGCAGGAGCCGAACGGGAATTTTAAAACCCATTTAGTAATTAAGGATAAAGAAGTCATTTGACATTGTTTTAAATGGAACCGCCATAATACGGAAAAGGAAGGAAATCCCGATTGCGCATAATCCCCACTTAGATTCGAACCGCCCATGAAGCCGGAATATGCAGAGGTTGTTTAATGCTCTAACTAGCCAAGGTCTCAGAAGCCGGAATATTTCCTTGAGAGCGGCAAAAGCTTCAGCGTAGACAAAGGACGTCGTTGGTGAAGATCAACGACCGGTGAAATTCCATTTGCGCAAATGGCTTCAGTTCAAGAAGAACACACTTTGCGACAAGTTGCTTTGGCGTGCGAAGAAGGTATTTGTTTTGTTTAGATTAATCTGTTTGCATGGAGGATTTTGTATGTTAGATGCACAAAGAGGAATGTGTGGATGCATTTGTGATGGACGTCATATGGATTATGTTTTTGTTGTTGTTGAATTTAGTAATGTGTAATATATTATTACTAATATGGAGTTGAACTTGAGTGAAAATTGAATTTTGGTTATGAATGTTTGTTTTTGTGTTCGTTCTTGGTGAGTGTTCCTGATTAGATTAAGTATTGTGCAAAATAGATAACGTAAAGGTGCAATATATTGGACTAATCTTAGTATGAATGTTGTTTTTTGAGTTCTTGTTTGGTGAGTGATCCTACAACAACAACAACATCCAAGCCTTAGTCCCAAACGATATTGGGGTCGGCTAACATGAATCGATACATGATATCACCCAAAAGAAAAGAAAGAAAATAAAGATAAAAAAGATAAGCTATTATAAAAAAGATAATATAAAAGAGATGAATATACATATAAATGATAAAATAAAAAGGATAAAGTAATATTTATATATAAGGATAAAAATATAAAAGAAAAAGAAAAAAGAAGAAGAAGAAGAAGAAAAGAGGGGAAAAGATGATACAATATCACTCATCCACACGAATACCCGCCCTCCATTTCGCTCTCTCCAAAGCCATACTCTCATCCAATCCAAGAAGAAGCATATCACTTCTGACTCCTCTAGCCCACGTCTGTTTGGGCCTTCCTCTCCCTCTCTTCCCTGCCTCTTCTCCACACATCTCCACTCGTCTGACAGGTGCATCAATCGGTCTTCTATGCACATGACCAAACCATCGTAGGCGCGACTCCCGCATCTTATCTTCAATAGGTGCTACTCCCACCCTTTGTCTGATTGTCTCATTCCTCACACGATCCTTTCTAGTATGCCCACACATCCAACGCAGCATGCACATCTCTGCCACACCCATCTTTTGAATGTGACATTGTTTCACCGCCCAACACTCCGTGCCATACAGTAGTGCAGGCCTAATTATACTAAATTAGGCCTGCACTATACTAAATTTTGGTGCAAAATAGATTAGGTAAAAGTGTAATACAATAGACTAATCTTAGTATGAATGTTGGTTTTTGTGTTCGTGTTTGGTGAGTGAGCCTGATTAAATTTATTTTTGGTGCAAAATAGATTAGGTAATGGTGCAATTTAATTGATAGGGTATGCAGACTAAGATTGGTAGGGTGCAGTTGAGGTAATTTAGAAATAAGCAAGAGTGCAAGCAAATATATTATATTTTTATTGCTTGGGGCAAAATAGATTAGCTAAAGGTGCAAGTGACTTGTCTTTGAGGAAGTTGTGTATGCTGGTAAAAATGTAGACAAAAAATGGTTGGGTGCGGATGACATAACTTAGAAATCACTTAGATTCAATTTTTTGGTGCAAAAGACAGGACGTAAAGCTGCAATTGAACTGTGAAATAAATGCAGACTGATTTTTTTTCAAATGTTTATTCATTTTTTGGGTGATGGAATTAATATCCAGATGAAGATTGGTTGTTATTCAAAGAGAGGTTAAGTGCATTTGAAAATGTTTTTAAGTGCATATTTTGTTGGTAAACATTCATGTGATTTCTGATATCTTAGTGAAGTAGTTAAGATGCAGATGATTGTAGTTGAATATGTATTTTCTTTGGAATTAAGCAGTGAGTGCATTTGAATATGTTCTTAATTGCATTATGTGTGGCATAGCATTAATGTGATTGTTGTTTTCTCAACAAGAAGTTAAGATGCACATGAATGTAGTTTGGTATGCATATGAATTCAAGTGTACTAACTAATCTAACTAAAGAAGTAGGAACTGGACAAAACCACCAAACAGTTCTACAAAAGAGAAAGAAACCAGCACCATGTGGGAGTAATATGAAAAAGAAAAAGAAGGTGATTAATAAGGGGAAACAAGTACAAATGCATCCTGATGGTTAGTAAATTTATACTTTCATTGTTTCAATAGTTTGAACTATTGAAATTGAGATGTGATTGAAATTTTAGGAGACGAGATTACTGGGCTCATGCAGTTCCATTCTAAGCTTGAGAAACAAAAGCAATTGAGCATGCAGCGACAGGAAATTAGGAGAAAATCAAGATATGAATTCCAAGGTTAAAAATAGCAAAAATTCATTGTATTGAATATTTTACGGTGTATGAGTGACAAAAAATTGTCCTCAACTGCATGTACATTTATAGAAGACAATTTAGGTCTTGAGTTGATGGGAAAAAAAGTTGAGAGAAGGTTGAAAAAGGAAAATGCAAAAGTTGCTGCAACCAACAAATCTGGGGGTATATCAAGGGGCCAATTGAAAGGTTTGATTACAACCAACTGTCTTTCGTAGATGCGAACTTTTATTAAATTACATTCATTTGAAATACATATACTATGTAGTGAATATGATTAAGGGGTGCAAACAGAGTATTAAAATGGTGTGCTAATTCATTTAGTGCAATTTTCAATTAAATGTTCTTTTCAATGTGCAGGATCTAAGGCTGCTCGTGGAAAAAGTAGTGGTCTAGAAAGTGGTGAAAGAAGGAGGAGTGGAGGGATAAATAAGGAGACAGAGGTGTGTAATGAAAACATTAATGATGTGGTGGTGCTTGATACAGAAGAGGGCAGTGAGGCAGACTTGAATGAACGTGAAGAAGCTGGCAATGATGAAGACTTCGTGAATTTACCAAAACAAGTGGTGAGAAAGGGAAAAGAATGTGTGGGCAGACCAAACAAGAAGGAGAAGAGGGCTGTGGTGAATGACTTGAAGGTCCAGTACCATAGCCTCTACACTAGATCATCACCGAATGTAGTGATGAATGCTATTGCGAAATTGACTAACAAACAGCGAGAACAAGTGTGTGAAGTTGGGTTTGGGGCTTTCTTAGACCTAGGAATCCAAGAGTTGCCGTCTAATCTTGGTTATTGGATTGTGGACAACTTCGACCCAATTAGTTGTTCACTGAAGTAAGGTAAAGGAAGGAAAATTCACATCACAGAAGAAGATATGGAGCTGGTTCTGGGATTTCCACGTGGTGACACACCAGTGTTAAAGAAGGGGAAAGGAGATAAAAGTGAAATGCTGGATGAGTGGGGATCTTCTTTTGGAGGAAAGGATAAGGTTTTGCCAATAGAGGTGACGCGTGAAATACTAAGATGTGAGGAAGGTGGAGATTGGTTTGTGCGGAACTTCATAATTCTCGTTATATCGACCTTGATAGACAATACAAGGAACGAATACATAAACTGCTCCTTCATAAACAATTTGTAGGACACAAAAGGAATTAAAGATTTAAATTGGTGTGAATACGTGATAAAGGCTCTAATTGAGAAGAAAAGGGAATCGGCTAAAGGAAAGGAAAAGGCATTCACCGGTCCGCTCCTTTTTTTGATGGTGAGTACATCGTATTTTGATATTTAAGTAGTTCAATGTGCAGTTTATGTGGTGCATGTTATTTAGGAATTGTTCATAAGACTGATGAATTAGTGAGGTATTGATGAATTCGAGTTACTGAAAGTGCATTTACAGTTAGGTGAAATTGCAGTTTAGGTCCATATTAAGTGAAATTTGTGTGATGGAAAACTAATATGCAATATAGTTAACGTAAAGCAGCAAATCAATGTTCAGTGTGCAAAGAATCATGTGATTATGCATATTAACGTAGTTGAATATGCAGTTTTATAGAAGGTGAGGTGTATTAATTTTAGATTTCTTCATAAGACATATGCATGAGTGATTTATTGATGAATTCTAGTTACTGAAAGTGTCTCTATAGTTAGGTGAAATTGCATTTTAATGCCATATTAAGTGAAATTTGTGTGATGTAAAACTAATATGCAAAATGGTTAACGTAAAGCTGTAAATCAATGTTCAGTGTGAAAACATTATATGATTATGCATATTAAGGTAGTTGAATATGTAGTTTTATAAAATGTGTGGTGCATGAATTTAAGATTTGTTCATAAGACTGATGTATTAGTGATTTAGTTATGAATTAGAGTTTCTGAGAGCGCATTTACAGTTAGGTGAAATGGAGGTTTTAAGGCAATAAGAAGTTATTTATGTGTGATGGAAAACAATGTGCAAAACAGTTAATATTACGATGCAAATCGAATATGCATATGAATAACGTTGATAAAGTTAAACTAATTCTTCATTAATCATTATATTTTGTAGGTGTTGTATGTGGATAGGATAGAAGTATATAGAAGAAGCGTGCCTAGAAAGGTTCCCTTTATAATGGGATGGAGCACACCGTTATTGAGGGAGAGGCAATATGAAGAAATAGAGACTGGAGGATTTGATTTAGGGTATCTAGATGAGAAGATGACAATCAACCGAGGGACAGGGAATAGTGTCACTGCTAAAGAGAGAACCCAGGATGTGAGATAGCCCTCGACAGCACCGGGTGAAGAATAGGTAGAGTAAAATACGACATTTATGTGCTTGTAGAAGACTACATGTCTGGTGCACTTATTTTTATATCTTGCATGCTTGTGAAGGAGTTAATGTGCATAATATTTTTATTCTTTAATAGGCTTGTTATTAAAGAACCATTTGTCTACTCTGTTTCGAGATTGTTGTATCTAAGTTAGCAAATGCCTAACTTATCATTTTTTTTGCAAATGACAGGACATTCTGCAATGCTTTGCTAATAAGACCAGCACATTTATTAAGACAGCGACTGACATCATGAATATGTTAGATGAATCTCCCGATGTAATTCGTGGCAGTGAAGAGTTCAAAGAGTTGGGGAAAGCGGCGAATATGCTCATGGCAGTTTTACAGAAGAAGAATTCTCCGGATTTTGTTACACCTACACAGATGGACAGGGAGATGGAGGTATTTTGGTCAACCCTAGTCAACCTTGAAATATTAGCTGAAGCTGAGGTGGACGGTATAAAGATAACAAAGGTTCTTCAAAGGAGGGAAGATATGCCAAACTTTAGTATAGGTCTCACACAAGACGATCCACCAAATGAAGTAAGCAATTATGCTCTTCTGGGGTTCGAGAAGAACAGTATAAATGAAAAAGGGAATGAAAAAGCCGATGCAAGTGTGCAACTGCCTTTAGATAAGGAAATGGTAACAGTTGGTGGTCAATCAAGCTCAAATGTAAATCATGTGCCGGAAATCAGAAAGGTAATTACAAAAACTAAAAAAATCACATACACGTGGATTGAGTGCAGATGAAAGGGGAGGTGTATTCCCTTGTTGTTTGAAAAGTATACAATAGTATTTATGTCATTTTTTAAAACATTGATGCCAACAGGACGTTGAAGAGACAAAAGAATTGGGCCAGATAAGAAGAAAACAAACGGCTGCAGCAACCATGAAGTCACCCTACGTAAGAAGAGTTGTTGATCCAAGTGATGCATTAACATCAGATGAACGCGCCATGGGTGCTTGGATACGTCAGATGGAGATGCGTAAGTGCAATGTGAAATGCTAATTTCATTTTAACTTTAAACATGTGGGAAAATATAAGTGAATGCACATTACTAATTGCACGCAGCCTATACAAGAGTGAGGTTATTTTCAAAGGCCTTAACCAATTGCAGCTTACCCGCGGCCAACTGATGAGAATCAAGGATGGTCGACACATCGAGGAAAGTGTAATCAATGCTTGGGCATTCATTCTTAATTGTAAAGAGAAAGCCTGAAGCAGTGAGTCTACCAGTAGATTATTTGCTAAAGTCTTGCCCTGCGTAAGTACACATGCACAAAAAAATAAATGTTTTGTTCATTTATTTATTTATTTTTTAAATTGTATTTTGAACACAATGTATAAAAATACAGTTTGGTTTAACTACCGTGAAATTGTGTTGTAGCTTGACACACAGGCAGACCTGGGATTGAATGAAGACAGTGTTTACACCCTTTTTGTGGAAGCCATTGGTTGGGGTTAGAGGCAATAAAAAAGCACACTTCACTTTCAAAAGTTGATTTGGTATGCTGTTTTAATGAAATATAATGCATTGCTATTAAATTGTAAATTCTAAAAAATGGTTATTTTGGTGCAGTTCTTCTTCCCAATCGTGCAAGTGCATCACTGCTATATACTTTGTCTTAATACTAAGCTGAAGCGTGTGGAAATCATTGACAGTTCAGCGGCTAGCGTAGGAAAATTTGATAAATACGGGGAAATGCCTCAAAACGTGGTACGAAATAATATTATGTAACTAGTACTTGTGGTTAGGTGCACTGTCGTTATAATTTTGTAAGGGATAAATGAAAATTACGAGGCTAAGCAAAATTTTGTGCAGATAAATATGTTTGTGAAGTACATGGATTCAAGGAATATGATGACCAAATCTGATAAAGTCAGGAAGGCAACACCGAAGAGGCTAGGAATGGAGTGGAGGCACACAAAGAACATTTGCGACTATGGCATGTTCACAATGCGACATATGGAGACATATCAAGGTCAAGGCTTGCAAGGATGGAATATTGGGCTGAAGGAAACGGACACCAAACTGGTAGGGATGTTACGCATGAAGTACATTTATGCAATTCCCCTGAATGAGAAGAATGAGTACATGCAGTCAAACTTGGCGAAGGCAAAGAATTTTGTCAAGAAAGCTAAAGAAGAGAAAGAAAAGGTGGCAGAGCAGAAGAAGGGAGCAGCGCCCAATTAATCAATTCAGTGAAATTTGAACTTGACATCAGTTTGACTATGTTTTAAAATTACAGTTTACAATGACTTATTCGCATTTTTTTAAAATTAAAAACAGAATTATGCTTAATATTTGTGTGTGAAAGTTGACATTGAATACAGTTGGTTTTAATATATGATTTTGGTTTACATCAGTTTATTTTAACTTGATTTATGCTTGTAGTTAATATAATTTAAATTGCATAACATCCTATAGCTCCAAATAGTAATTAATTTTGCATGGGATAAGCTATTGTGCATGTAGAGAATACAAAGTAATTAATAATGAAGCTTTGCAAATCCAGGATGCACTTGACTATATCTTCGTGTGCATTAATTTTGTTTAAAAAAACCACTTGACAATATGTCACATTCTGTCATTAAATTTGTGTAAAAGTTATGTGTGATTTTTCAAAAAAATGTGTGGCCTATTTTTTTATTAAAAAATTGTTAGAAAAGAGAAACATATTGAGAAACAGGTTAAATGTAATACATTTAGTGGTGGGTAATGAAGAAGTTCAGGGTGCACACCTTCGTACTGAAATATGCACGTAAAAAACTGAAGACTGCACCAAAGATCGTAACTTCAAAACATGCATGTGTGAGGCATACAATTTCTAAATAATCAATAATGCAGAAGTCAATGTTCTAAAAGGCGTTAGGCGCTAGTCGGGCGCCAGCCCAACGCCTAGGTCCTATGTCACGCCCCAGACCGCAATCCAAGCGCGTGTACAACCGCCGTATAACTAAGTGACGTCACCCACGAGTCAACCTCACTTAATTACACAAGGCGTTCGAGAAAACAATCCATCCATACTCAGTAGTAAACACACATAACAGCATCACATTTAAACCAATGAATAGCGGAAATATTCAACGGTAAGTCATGGGCCACAACCGGCCAACAACATGGGCATGCAAGCCCCAAAAATAGTTTATAGTAAAACAAATATCCATGAGCAAGTGTTCGGTAGTTTGAAAGAAAATAAGGAAGCACGAACCACGTCTTCCTGATTTGATATCACCCGTGAGAAGGTGCAAGTAGCAAGCTCTAGCTTCAACCTGAAAATGGTGGGCCCCCCGAAGGGGTCAGTACAAGTACCGAGCGAGTAGCAGGCTAAATATAGAATAACTAGCGTTTCAAGTATAAGACCCAAACATAGGGTGATACTTAAATAAATAGTCCTTTCCCCAAGTTTGGAAATACTTATTAGTATATATATATACTTGGAAAATATCCGATCCGTAGATCACCGTTTTATTTGGGAAAAATAGTAATAGTCAATATTCTTGACTAAAAACCCCAACCCACCCATATACCTATGAGTGTATAGGACTCCTCCTTGTCCCTATTTCAATATCATCATTCTATGAGTTTTGAGGATCAAAATCCTTGGGTACTCCACCGGTTTGCGAGTGTTAAGGACTCATAAGTCCTAGGGTCCTCCACCAAGTTTTGAGTGTTAAGTACTTTTAAGTACTAGGGTCCTCCACCAAGTTTGAGTGTTAAGGACTTTTAAGTCCTAGGGTCCTCCACCAAGTTTGAGTGTTAAGTACTTTTAAGTACTAGGGTCCTCCACCAAGTTTGAGTGTTAAGTACTTTTAAGTACTAGGGTCCTCCACCAATTTATAATCCGAGTGTTAAGGACTTTAAGTCCTAGGGTCCTCCACCAATTTATAATCCGAGTGTTAAGGACTTTAAGTCCTAGGGTCCTCCACCAATTTATAATCCGAGTGTTAAGGACTTTAAGTCCTAGGGTCCTCCACCAATTTATAATCCTATGATCAACCTTCTATCAACCTAGATAGAGTCTATATCATACTTAGTTACTCATAACTAATTCAATACATAAAGCTTATGTATCACAATCCATGCAAAACCATGCATTTATATAGATTTATAATTTATTAATACCAACCGGTATTAACTAAATCCTTTGTCCATCGGTCAACGTTTTCGTTGACCGCCATTTCATGCCTTGTGTGTATCAACTTAATCATCATATAATTAAGTTAATAATATTCATTTGTGCTTCTAATAAACTTCAAGCAAATATGCATTTCATATAATTCTTCATATCATATTCCATGCATCAACAATTAATTTCTTTCATACAAGCTTAACCCTATTGGCTAATCACATGTTTAAATATCTTTTAAACATCATTATGAACTCATATAACATTTATTTAGGTAATCTCACAATCAACCCAAAAGTTATAAGATATTAAGCCGTCCACTCACCTTGAACTAGCGTTATGAAGTTCTACCCCTCTTGGTTGAACTCCGGTGAAACTCCGGCGACTTTCGGTCAACTCCGGCGACAACTCCGGCGACTTTTCCAACCTTGTTAAATCACTTGAAATACCTTTCACAAGTTCCTAACAAGGTTTTATAATCATAAAACTCATATTAATACAAATAACCTCAAAAAGGTTATTTTCCGGTGAACCGGTCGTTTTGGCTTCTAAGTCCGTTCTTGGACATAGAATCACTCTCCAACCCATAAATCCATACTTATAACATGTAGAACCCTCTTAAGGATCCTTCACATGATATATATCTTATATGGTAGAAGAAAAATAAAGGAAAAGTTATAATAAGGTCATTACCTTAATTTTCACACTTTTTCTAGCCCTTTTTCCTTCTTCAAACACTTCTCTTTGAACCTCCTTCCTTGAGCTCGAGTTCAGCTATGGAGAAAGAGTATTTTGAGAGTTCTTCTTCTCCAAATAATAGGGCTGGACGAGTTGGATGATTGAGGTGAGAGGGAGTGGTTTATTTTGTCTCAAATGACAAAATGTGTGATGGGTGAGGGGTCATCTATGTACTTTGATGCCAAAGCCTCCTCCTCCACACCTTCCTTTGTCAAAACCAGCCCCCCTTGTCTATGCTAGCACAAAAAAACGTGGGGTGGCCCCCACTCATGTGGGAGGTCATCCCAACTTGTCCCGAAATGTACATTCGGTCCCGAAAGTTGTGTTTTTCGGACTGTTTTAAATATATTTTATTTTATCGGGTCAAATAAAATATCTTATGTGCTCTTACTCATTATGACATGTATAATGAATATACATTCCCCAACTTTAATTTATAAGCCTCCGAAATTCAGTTCGGGCTGTTATCTGTTGAATTACCAGTACCGGTAATTTGGGCTTCTTTTGACCAATCGGTCGACTCCGGGCCTTTCTATGGCCCAAATGAAATATCCACCACTATATATTTATTATCTAGACCAAGATGAATAAAATATATGGTCTCGGGAATGTCGGGCGGCCCCCGCTCCCGGTGTGGGCCCCACGTGCAATTTACTATTCACGCGAAGGAATAATAAAAATTTACAACTTCGTGAATTCGTAAATCATTCCATAAGGTTTATTACATCATTTACTTGAAAGTAAATACATTTGGGGACGGTGTTACATCCTAGGCGGTTAGGCGGGCGCCTAGTCGGGGACTAGTCGGAGACATATAAATTGCATTTTATCTATATTTTGCATAAATATGTTAAGTAATATTGTATTTTTTGTGTGTATAATATACATATATACACATATGTTAACAAACATGAATGATAGAATTATCACATTTTATCATACGTAGTATATGATAACTAATTACTTAACTTCATTATGTTATAAATATAAATAATACGGAGTAATAAAATTTAGGTATATATACGAACATATATAGTTTTTATCTTAATTTACTACTTCATTTCTTTATGTTTGTGGCTAAAGTTAAAGTACTTACATCACTTAGAAAATAAAAATTAAAAAGTAAAGTAATGTTCGGCGAATCTAGATGGCTTAGGCTGCCGATTAGGCACTCTGGGCGGGCAATTAGGCGTCATAGGCGGCCGACTAATTCACCTAGATGGCAAATCAATTAGTCGGAGCGCCTAGACGAAAATCGGGACGCCCGGCCACCGCTTAGCACCTAGGCGGGGACTAGTCGGACGCCTCGAACGATTTTTAGAGCAGAGGCAGAAGTTCTAGAGATATGGTGCACTTAAACCAAATAACCTTTATCAATTAACTTCTAATTAAATAGTGTAGAAATACAAGGTGCACATAAGTGAATAGAAATATGCATACAAATATTGTGTATAAAGCAGTAAAGATATTGACGAGGTGGATACTTTACAATAAAAAAATTCATGAAAAATAATTTGTCAATAGTTTACATCCACCGGTGTAAAAAACAAAGATAATCCATTAATCAATAAAAACCACGATCTTAAACAATCCTAGCTATTTATTCAATGGACAATTCCGGCTATCATGATGGCATATCTCATTGCACGAACAACAAAGTCTCTTGGGACGTTTAGATTCTTGGATAGAAACCTCTTTGGGAGACTTGATTCTACCTCCTGAACCTTTATTTCTGGCTTGTTGTGGAGGATGAACTGTGACGACAGAAGGCGCAGCGGAACCATAAAAGGACTCAAATACCGACTGCTTTGTTGATGACTGTGCAACCCCACTCTAAAGGGAAAGAAAAGTCTCTTTTTTATCTTTAATAATGCCTGAAAACTACTGCAAGTAACTTGGGTTATTTTCAATAAGAGTCATGCATGCATATATATCAGACCATAAAGAGTTCACACACATCTTATTCTCCTCTAGCGTGACGCTTTGCTGAATATAGAATCAGAGATTTCGGACAACGGTTTGATTAAACCCTTCTTACACCAACAGGTATTAACAAAATGTTCTGGAATCTGTTCAACTGTCGCGTCCTTTAGGACAAGAAAGATGTGACGACAAACCAAACCAATCCGTTGGAAGAATTTACAACTGCACTCCTCCTTCATATTAGACATTTCAAAATGAACTTTAAACTCCAAATTCCTGTCGTCAGAAATCTGATAGTCAAAAACACCATCACGACCATCAACATGTAACACACGACATGCAAAACACGCTGAAGATAATTCTGTTTGCAGGTCATAAAAAATAGATGACCTTACATAACAGTGTAAAATGTTTACATCCCCACA